CTTCCATAAATTTGCTGCTTTCTTGTTCTCGGAATGCCTCTGTAATAAATACTGCTCTTGCTGAGATTACAGTACTCTTGAGTAGATATTAGGGAGTGCTTGAGCAGGGGTTATTCTAAACTATTCTATCAATTATTATAACTGTTCCTGGGAAATAGTTTCATCCCAAAAAGCATACAGTTAATCCAATCCACAGCAATGCTTCGTATTGTGAACGACCCGAAGCTGTCCTTGACAATAGTCTTCACTTCGCCGCTGCCAAGCGTCACTTTGTAAATGCCACGATTTGGACCAGACGATTCGGCAACAAACAGTGACTTGCTTTCGAATTCAAAATCTACTGCTGTAATTGCTGTGCCACCAATTGGTTCCATTGCTACTGACTTTGCTTGTTCTTCGTGGAGTCTACAGAAAATCAAACTGATTTTTCGTATGCAAGTAACAGAGCAACAATGACGAATACTGCACTAACAATACAAACGTAAGTTCATGCCTACTACTGAACACTGAAGAGAAACGGTGCTTTTTCTTCTGGTAGGAAAAGTATTTCAAAAACCTATAGACAATTCCTACAGTGCTGTAGCAAAAAAAGTGTTTGCCATTGCAATGAAACGAATTGAAGACCGAATTCAATAGCTCTGCTTAAAGATACGGAGTTGTTCAGAATCTTGGCTCAGATTTAAGGGCTCGTACACAGTTAAAGCTCCATTTTTTCTTCTTGATTAAAGCGTGAAACTATTTAGGACAAAGTTAGTTTTGAAAAAACCGATAAGCAAAAATTAAGAAAAGACTGACGGGATGCCGGTAATCCGCGTCTTCGTTGCAACAACCAAAAACGACTGATCGAAAAGTTTACAGTGAGTGCTGCCATCAAGAGAATAACCAGTAGCGCACATACACTGATGCTGTGAAAATGCTCGAGGAATACACAAATGCTCACAGTTACCGTTATTCGTATGGCATGGATGTGATTGGACTGCTGAAAATTGGCGTAGATAAGGCTCATCAGGTAGCTGAATCGCAAAAACGCTAAAATCCATAAAGAATGACCATACTGTTTTGATGAAATAGAAGCTACAGGAAAAAACATGCTCAGATGACCAGATAGGGACTACAGATCATTTTGCACTTGAAGGCCTGCACACAGATTGTATAAGTTTATGTAAAAGTTTGGTTTTTTTTTTTTTTTTTTCAATCTGGTTCTCGCTTCGAAAATGCCAACAGCGAAAATTCAAAATTTGTTTTTCAAAAAAAACCATTTGTGGCCACTCTCTCGAAATTTACAAAAAAGCAAATCCGTACTAGTTCTTCCGGAAACAGCTTTAATATTGATCAGTTGGTCGACATCCTTTTTGAAATGCTCGAACTGTGGTGGTTGACCGTCACCGGACAGAGTTGCTACTTCAATGCTATCGAACGCACTATCCGCGTAGAACAGATGATTATTGAAAAATGCAATTCCACGCGGTTGCTTACCGACATCGTTCAGAACGTAGTGTCGATCCTGTCCATCGTATGTGACAAACGATATCTGCAAAAAACGAAAAGACTCGGAGCCATTTGCATTCCCATGTAGCAACTTCATACACCACGTCTTAGTACCACATCGAGCTACTGAGATAAGCTACGGCAAGGAAGCACTCAAGAAAAACGTCTGCTTTGATCAAAACAGCGTCTGCTAAACAAAATAGCGAAAAATACCGCTGATTTCTTAGTTATGTTAGTGAATGCGATGTTGCTTCGACATTT